GACCCTCGGCGCCAGGCTCGGTCTGCCCGGATTGGTCGGCCTTTTCTGGCGTGTGCGCGAGAGCGAACGTCATAGAGAGGAGATTCCCCCAACCTCCTCCCCCCCTTTGGTGTCGCTCCTCTTCCCATATGGTGGTGTGTGTGTGGGGGGGTCGGATCTCTCCGTTTGTCACGCTGGGCAGTCATATTGTGGGGAGGGGCTGCTTTTAAAACGAGACACCCCCCTCCGGGGACCTGCGGAGTGACAGAACCCTCGGCGATTCACACGTTCTTCTGCTCCGTGTTCCAACCGGAGGGGCGCGCGTATGTGTCAAAAATGACATGGTGGTGGTGGTGGTGGTGGTGGGGCCTTGATCTGTGCTCGACTTCGTCCTTTAGGTCTCTAGTCCGCTTTTTGTGGTATAGAAATAGGAAGCGTAAATGTTTCTCTGCCACTTTGATGGGTGAACAAGAAAGGAAGGTTTTTTTCACATCTGTGCAGGAGAACAGGTTCTAAATTAAGTGTGGTTGCCCCCCCCCTTTTCAGATCCATTTGTATAGTTTGCGGATGCTTTATAATCTTGAGTATGCCTTGTCTCTTCCTAGCCCCCAGTCTTTTATCCTCTTTGAAGGAAGTACTGTAAACAAAATAGGTGAGGAAATAGCTCATCTTCCACTTCCTGGCCTGGCAAAAGTTGCTTTGGTAAAAGCTCAGCGCACACAATGCTCAGATGTCGTTTTTAGAATGGGTTGCCATGTTAGTCTGTGCAAGCATATCGGGCAAAATCTAGAGAAACAAAAGAAAGAACGTGTGGCACCTTAACAAGTGACAAGTCTACTTCATCAAACATATGGAAAAAATTAAATACTGAATGAAACACCTGCCATGAATTGGGGTTTGGATTGAGAAATGGCCTCTGTCTTTCTCTTTCTGCTCAGTGTCCTGGGGGAGGTGGGGCATCTTGCTTTGGTGGAAAGAGTTTATTGAAAGGGGAAGACCTTGGTGGCAGCCAGTGGAATACTCCCATGACTAGAAAGAGAAACATATGATATGTTTCTGTTTCTAGTCATGTACTGTAGATCTTCATTTGCATCTTTGGTTCAGGCATGACCTCCATGCCTTTTTAAAAAAGCAAGGAAACAGCAACAAGGAACAGGGTAACTCCTAATGGATTAAAGTTTATCATGATATGTTTCTGTTTCTAGTCATGTAGATCTTCATTTGCATCTTTGGGTCAGGCATGACCTCCATGCCTTTAAAAAAAAGCAACGAAACAGCAACAAGGAACAGAGTAACTCCTAATGGATTAAAGTCCCTTTTCAACTGATCAGTTTTGTGTTTTCCCAGAAAGCATTTAATGAGATTTTGTATATAGATTATGCTATTCCCAATCAGCTGTTCTTAAAAACTAACAAACAAAACACCCACAAACCCATTCATTCCAGAGGGCTGACCATGTTGTCTGGACTGATAGGGATTCAGTTTAGAACATACAAGGGGGCACCAGATTTTTGAAGGCTTGCCTGGGTTTCAGTTGTGAAATCCTTATTTAGAATGGGAAATCAAATGCATGTACAAGTCAGCTTTCCTTCCCTTGTTAACAGTCACAGCTCATTTCTGCTGCATAAGATTTAGGAGCAGGGTGTCTGAGGAAGACGATAAGTGTCCTAAGCAAGCCTGAACCATAACACCTTTGATCAAAAAATTAGACCCTGTAGCCAATGATAGCTTGCCCTTTATTTCCTTCAGCCCTTGTTTGGATTACTGATGAACCCTGTTGCTATTGTAACTTGTTACGGGTCAAAAATATCCACACCCGTTGACATTTTAGGTATATTGTCTAGAGAAGCTGGGTAGGGCAATTGCTTTGTTTGCAAATAGCTACGCATTCTAGAACATGTCAGTGACGTTCCTGAATTCCAGTGGCTTAATGTGTTGGACAAGCTCATTAGTAGCTTGTATTTTGTGGCTGTAATCATTTTCATTGACCATGAATCTGAGAGAAGAGCACATTAGATCACTCATATTGACACAAGGTATAATCTCTCTCTGGGGCAGTCATCTCCTGCACTTCATTTGCCTTTATCCAATTGGGGAGAGATCTGAGAATGCCCAGAGCAAAAATCAGAGCATCAGGGGTTGCTTCCTGAGTGTGAGAGCATTGGGGTAAAGGTGCTGAATGCTTAAACAGAGAGCTGAGCTGAGAGTGGAAAGTCTGAAGAGCTCAGCTTTGCATGAGTCGGGCATGACTGGGCACAGAATTATTTTGTAGAGTAGTTTTTGGTATTGAAAGTCAGTCTTGCATCTCAGGTTTTCAAAGGAGGATTTGGCTCCTACTCTCTCAGCTGAGGTTGAGATACAACTTTATAGCTTAAATATTGTTCCAGAATGTATTTGAGGGGAGGGAGTTGGGATACCAGGAGAGAACTTTGCCCTGGAGCATTGGACTTGAACTGTAGTATTCAGAAGCAGGATACTGGGCGAAATAGGCTTGGAAAATTGAAAGAGTCGTCACACTTTTAAAAGAAATTTTAAAACAAGTGGTGGAGGGGGGGAAGTGTACTCTTTCACAAGTTTTGCAGTTGACTCTCAGACTTGGTTTGCGAAAGATGTCTCCTGGTTAGCCTAACAACCTCATCTAATAGCAAGATGCCACCCATCTGACCAGATTGACTGGCTTTATGATGTGACACGGCCTCATGCCTTTATGATGTTATAGGTCATTGGGTAGTTTCTCTGTTTTGCCATCCTGCTGTGTGTGGCTTAACCTACACTTCTGAAGAGGGTTTGTTCCACCAACTCTCTTCCTCTACCTTTCTTGATAGGTAGTAGGTTTCCATGTGAGGATAGGGATGAATAGTATATGGATAGTGCCAAAGAGACTGTCATCAGAGGCTAGCCCTCAGTGGGTAAAGGTTGTAAGTATGACTCAGTGTTATCTGGTTATTTATTGATAAGAGAGCACAGGTTCTCCTCTGCCTTAGAAGCAGGTCTGTTCTTTAACATGGGTTACACAAGTGCTGCCAAGTCATGATTTGTGCTCTCTGATTAGTTTCATTTCTCAGTTTTTAAAATTCTGTTTTGGTTGTGCTGAACAGAGAATCCAGTGACAACAAGAATAGGATTTGGGGTTAGTTCGTAATTAAGGATCCCAAAGTTCGTACACGTATGAGAATATTATATGCAAACATCACACTGGACAGAGCTAGATTTTTGACAAGAGAGATGACTTAGTGCATAAATCCTGTTGTGTTGCTCTGTACACAATGGTGATGTTAGCAGTGGCAAATTGATGCTGATTAAGGGCAATTCATTGCTGATTAAAAGTGATTTTGGGGTGGGTGCAACTTTTATGCCATCTGGCAAACTGATGTGCCCTCTGAAATCTCCAAGAATTCAGCTGCCATTTCACCTACAAAGGTCATGGATCCACTTTTGGCTCTCTTGTTGGTCGACGCTACAACATTGACACTGTACCTCTATACAGTATACTCTGTGTAACAACTGTTCAGGATCTCACCAGAATTTTCCTTCTTATTTGCTCTCTCTCTCTCATGCTTTTATCAGGGGAATTCAGGGACTGAACTTGGGTGTTTTGGCAGGTAAAATATGATGTCACATTTTACTTGCCAGATATTGAGGTCAATCATTGTTTTGCATACATTCATGAGTAGCATGAGAGACAAGTTAGGTTGAACAGTGTGTCCATTAACTTTGTAGCTGAAACAATCGCTGAAATCCGCACATCTTGTGGAGATTTCAAGATATGTCCAACTTTACCACATTGTGTATGAGTTTCATGCACCCCGGAATTACCTCTAAAACACATTAGGTTCTCATCAGGTACTCCTGTGCTTCTGCTTACCACTGAGATTGGGGAAGCTTTAGTTTTATAAAAGAGACTTTGTACTTGGGCCAGTGTATTAAAGACCACAGCCATTTGAAGAGATAACTCTTTCTAAGCACTGCACTGTAAGACAGCAGCACACTGCTACTATCTTTGAAGGATTATAGGTACCTCAAGTGTCACTTGATCCAATTTTATCATTTTTCTCTGCCTGCACTTTCAGCTGCTGGCCAATCCTTTGTTTAACAACATCTTGAAAAGAGAGATCCCTGTTATGTATGCATCCTGCAGCTTGCCAGTGGCCTTCTGTTCCAGATTGTTTCTTTAGTTAAAGGTTGAAGTAATAAGATTGTAGTGAACAACCCTTAAACAAATTTTTCCATGCCTCCATGAACCTTGAGGTGAAATGTAAGGCTGGACATCACTCAATTAAGGACTTGAATCATTGGTGTTCACATGAGGAGTCATGGAAGGTGCTGCAGCTGCTTGGGACTAATAAAGTGCCAGGTGTGTGGCCAGGCATGCAACCAGCATGAAGGTGCTGCAGCTGCTTGGGACTAATAATCAAAGTGCCAGGTGTGTGGCTAGGCATGCAACCAGCATGGACCAGCATTTTGTCACTTAGCTGCAGCAACATTTGCACTTCCTCATACACTGTGTGTAAATACCTAATCAGATTTTGATCACTGACCTGTGTAGCCCACTGTGGTTCTTAAGCGATGGTCTGCAGGTGACGTGTGGTTTGGGAGTTCCATTACAGATGATTCATGGAAAGATAATGGAAAATTGGAGAATATCTGTTGTCAGTTCTACGTTTGGGTTCCCTTTTCTGTTAGTGATAATAATAATAACATTATTATGTTTCTACTAGAAAATAGCACGTGACTAACAGACAACATAATTCAATTTATAAGAAAAATGATTCCTGTTCTAATTTTTGTAACAAAATGGTTTAAAAGAATGCAATCTTCTGAGCATGACTGGATTTTCCATTGTGTCAACAAGATTCTGGCCTGGTGCAGGAATTTTCATGTTGAGCCATTGGTATGATCCACTTATTTCCTTTTTCATTATACCAGTTAGAAGGGCCTTTATTGGCTATGTTCATCAGTACAGAAAATCAAATCTTATAACTCTTAATTTTGCTGTATCTTTTGTCCTTTTAAATCAAATAATAATTAGCAAGCAAAAATTTCCATTTACTAAATGGGCAGAAATTTTCACCTTTTACAACTAGAATCAAGACACTTTTCACAAAAAGAAAAAATGACAGTGCATTTGAAGGATTTCTTTGACTTGTGGATCAAGGTTATAACAGTGTCCTGAAAAGTCATAATGTTAGACTTCATTGTAGTTCATGTTTTGCTTTTTGGTAGCAACTTAAATAATATGTTCTATTTGTTCATCTTTCTTGGAACAACTAGTGTTTCATACCTGCTGAAATGCTCAATTCTGGCAGAATTTTAGGCCCAGTTTGGTGACAGGTCAGCCTGTAATAGAAGAACCACACTGAGAACAGAGGCCCCAGATATAACCTTAGTGTTTCTTAAAATAAAAGATTAGTGGTAGCAAGGAAGGGCCTCTACCTGGACTCCTCAAGAGCTATTTTCTTTGGTGAGTAAATAGGACTCATCTAGATCAGCGGTTCTTAACCTTGGGTTACTCAGGAGTTTTGGACTGCAACTCCCAGAAGCCTTCACCACCAGTTGTGCTGGCTGGGGTTTCTGGGAGTTGCAGTTCAAAAACACCTGAGTACCCCAAGGTTAAGAACCACTGGTCTAGATGGACAAATGGCTTGACTTGGTATACTTGAGGACAGAGAGTTGTAACAGATGGTGTAATCTGTTCCTGCTGGGACTCCAGAAGCTGGTATGGCCTATGGATTACCAAAGTGATCCAAAGTGGCCAACGCTACATACGTCTGCTTCTCAAAAATTTAGTGGAGTTTATTCTGAAGGGTTTATTTCCTGTTTGTAGCTATCCCTCAGCTTGTCAGTGGTTGTGCCTTTAGCAAGAAGCTAGAGAATAATTTTTTTCTCTCTTTTCTTTCCTGATTACTGGTGGAAGCTACAAAACCTCCCACATCAGGTGCCTGCAGTAAGACATCCTGGATTTCCAGAAGCACTTCTTGTTCCCATCCCTTTCCTGCCAAGAAGGCAGACTGCATGTTATATGTGACTTCTCAGCCTTGCTGACCCAGTCTGGCTTCTGCCTTGTATAGTGTTTGGTAGGTGGGAGGAGTGGGTGTGTAGTGTGAGATGCCCTCCTTCCCTCTGCTTGCCAATGTGACCTATTTTGGTTCCCTAATACTGAGTAACATTGGCTGGTACAAGTACTGAATCTGCATGTAGTGGCTCACACTTTATTTCCCAAGTTAAGTGCCTGTAAAGGCATTGGCTGCTGACACCTTTCAAGGTGCCTCTTTTTTTCCTGATCCTAAATGCATGATTTTACCCATGGCCCTGCATAGAGTTGTAACAGTTTTTGAGTGCAGAGCATACCTTAAGATAGTGTGGAATCTCTTAAGGCACTGTGATGACCTTGTTTTCTTGAAACAGTGAGTCTGTTGTTTTCTGTTGGTGGGATTCGGCTCTCTAATCCAAGCCAAGGTAAATATCCTTGCTCAACTGCATCTTGAAATGATGGGAACTCTGGTGGTGGGTTCTTCCCTTCTTCTCTCCTAAGGGTATGAACTAAGCTCTATGCTCCCAGGTCTCGGAATTAAAGGCTGAGCTACATCAAACCCTGTTGTTTATGTGTTCCGAGTTTTGACACTAATCTAAGTCTGCGTTAGAAGTGGCAAACCTTCCTTCCTCATGGGAATCTAATAATATTGACCTCTCCTTTGAACCATTATGAAACGGAATGAACTTCAGAGAGCAGTCAAAACCTGCTTTCTGGGGACAGATTACCATCTGGCACCACCTGCCACGTTAGCCAGAGGAGAAAATGCAGTTGTCAACTTGTCCAGACCAGACAGGGGATACCATACTCACAAGTTCGCTTTTCCTTGCCAGCCAATCCAGGTCTGCCCTATAAGCAGCTTCCTCCTCTGCCTGTGTAAAGGATAAGAAGCTGGTTGCAAAACCAGTTTCAGGCTAAGAAGTTGGAGCAATCTCTAGAGCCAGTATGACAAGAATAACTTCTTGTTGTATCTGTGTTTGTGGAGAGGAGGTGGAATCATTTTACATTTTGAGACCCTTGTTGGGGTGAATACCTGCGGATGCTGGTACATAACCTCAGAGAGAGTGGGAAATCCCACCTTGAGGATCAGGGAGCTCCTGCCTGTTCTTGGACTGTGGAGGCTGCTGGGATCTTTCTCTCCACCTCAGCCTCGCCAAGGGAGGTCATTAGGGGCTCTCATGGGACTCCTTTCCAGCTGCCATTGCAAACCAGGGTTCCCTTGCACATCCCAATTCCCTCCAGGCACCTGTTGTTAGCCTTGCAACCGTTTGCAATCATTGCACCAGGTGTACAAAGCTGACAGGGGCACCTGTTGAGCAAACAACAGCCTCTGGATCTTTCATATGAGGATGAAGGTTGACTGTGTAGGACTCTAGGTAGTGAGTCTGAAGTAGAGGAACGTTTCCTTTGTTCTTTCTTGGGAGTATCTAGGACAAGTTTGATGAGCACTCATTTTTGGTTGGTCTCAGATTTCGGCACTAGATGACACCTCTTTCTGTTTCTCATCTTTCTGTATGTGGATGAACTGATTGGTTGGAGTTGGGGTAAAACATTTTCTGAAGGAGGCTGGATTGAGCAGGAGATAGAGTAATTGTGGAGTTCTGCTACATGTAGGGCAAAGTAGATGTATCTTTGCTTGGAGTGGACAGAAGGGATTGAAGTATCCCAACTCCACCTGATCCATTAGAGGTTTGTTATTTAATCTTCTGTAGCAAAATTGTCATTTTTTTCCTCTGGCCTCTGACAGTTAATCAAAGGGTGTCACAATGCCTTCCCTTGGAAGAGGTAACCCTGTCCCCACCCCCGGATAACTTATAGAAAGGCTGGGATCCAGCAGATGGTTTGAAGTCCTGCTTGAAGGAAAGAGAATGGAAACTCAGAGGAAGATGTTGGTGTTCCTGAAACATTTCTAGTGAAAGGGGCTTGGGTCATTCTGGACATGCTCTGTGGGCAGGAGATGTCCTTTGAGTGAGATTTAGCCATCCAGGCTAGAGGCGTACTTGGTTTGTGCTTTGAGAGGCTTCATGGAGTAGATAAATTCATTGCTGGAGAATGGTTGTGTCTTCTCCTCCTGCAAGCCACTGCTGACATGGCCTTCTCCTCCTTTCCTACAGATTGTGTAGTTTGACTCCATCAACCAGCTGGCGCAATGGACGTTTTCAACAGAAACATAAATTTTGATGCCCTCTTCAAATTCTCCCACATGTGAGTATACTCTTTACCTGCTTAATAGCTCTGGGTGCAGTTTTTGTCCTGAAGCGGTCTGCTGTTTCTTGGGATGCATGAGTACTGGGAGGCAAGCCTGGGATCTGTGCTTCAGTGTTGAGGACTGGAGGTTGCGGGCTGCAAAAGGCAGACCTCTCCAGGCTGTTCCACTAGACAATGGGAGAGGGGAACGGCCTTCTAGCCATGACTGTGTCTGTAGGTTGAGCTAAAAATCAAAATAATCTAGAAATAGTTTGTGCTTCGATAAAAAACTGAATTCCATAATCTTTATATGTGTGTAAGTTGCAAAGAGAGGTCCTTGTTTTTAAAGCTGCAAGCTGAGATTCTCACTGTGTTGGACTTTGGGGTTTGCGATTTAGTTCCAGAATGCTGTGGCCAGAGCTTGGCAAAGTTTTTTTTTTTTTAATTGTGGCGGCAACACTTTTCAACCAGCGCGGCCAGGCCAGCCCAGGATAGTTCAAAACTAACTTTTCCAAACTTGCTGCTTGCCTTTGCTTTTTAAAGTTTCAGCAGAGGCTGAGGTGGCAGCATTTTCCTGCTGATGTCAGAGCTGTTCCACATAATGCATACAATGGTTTCTGTTCTTTAGGATAGTTTGTGGAGTGGGCAGGTACCCCCCACATATACACCTGAGTTAAATGGTGGTAGCATGCCAGCTCTCAGCTGTATGCAGCGCTGAATGAATCCTTGCGTTTTGGCCTCGCACTCAGCCGTGACCAGGCATCTAGAATTTTTCTAGCCTTCCAAAGATCTCCAGCTTCTCTTTCACTTTCGGCTTTGTTTCTGGGCCCATCTGATATCCTCTCTACAGAGGGTGGTGTCCCAGCTCCAGAGGTTGCTGAGGCGATGGAAAGTGCTTGCACTTTCACTTAGGTAGCTTGTGGCAGAAGAAGTCCAGTTTGCCTTGCACAGTTTGCTGAGTTTCTGGGTGCTGGCAGGTGGCCAAGTCGGGCGCTGCTCTGCTTCCAAGCACTGTTTCTTCCCTTGTCCTCTGCAGCTCCACATCAACCCAGCAGCACCTGAAGAAGGTCTATGTGAGCTTTGCATTGTGCATGTTCCTCGCAGCCGCTGGAGCCTATGTCAATGTGGTGACTCAGCTGGTGCAGGTAAGAGCACGCCCCTGTTCTCCAGGAGCCCAGTTGCAGGGTTAGGGTTTGCCGTGAGTGTGGAACCAGCCTTCCCAAAATGAGCTGCATAGTGTGTGGGAAGGTGAAGATGGACCATGGGACCCACTGGTGTCCGCACCCCACCCGCTGCCATTGAGTGTTGTCTTCGAAGCCCTGTCTTGATTAGAGGTCCTTCTCACTGGCAGAGCACTCTTATGCCTGACTACTCGGAAGTAAGTACTGCAAAGTTCAGTAGGATTTTCTCTCCAGTGAGTGTAGTTAGGGACTAGTATGGTAACTACTTGGGTCTTATATGTGACTTCCAAAGCAGAAGGCTTGTTTTTTGTGATGAACCCCAACATGGTGATGATGGAGCCATTGTGGGCCACTGAGAAAGGCAAGTGAACCTCTAGGTCAGTGATGGTGAACCTGTGGCACGTGTGCCAAGGCTGCACACAGAGCCTTCTCTGTGGGCCCACGAGTCATAAGTTGCCATCAAGAAATACTTATCCGTCCACTGATCCCGGATTTCAGAAAGAACTCTTGGGAAGGGAGGGAGAGCCAAGATGGCAACGGTCACTGTCATCACAAACACACACACAGATCCACACACCCACCTGGACGCCAGGCATGGAAATACCTTGCTCCCGCTGCCTGCGTCTTTAAGGACTGCAGCTGGAGGCGGAGCAGGGAGTGTCCCTGGTAGGCACTGGAAGTTGTGTGGCTGGAGGAGTGGGACTCTTCGGGACAGTTGTGGTTGGTTTTGTGTTGCAGTTTGGGCGCTTGGGCTTTAAAACGTTCGATGTCACTGCTCTAGGTACAGTATTCTAACAGTGTTTGCATTTTGAATATTGCTCATCATCCCAGGGTCTAGACCAGTGGTTCCCAGCCTTGAGTCCCCAGATGAGTCGTGGCCAACACAACTAGTGGTGAAGGCTTCTGGGAGTTTTAGTCCAAGAACTTCAGGGTTACCCAAGGGGAGGAACCACTGGCCTAGACACGTGTTGTTTCAAGCAGTGGGAGGTGGGAGAAGTTTTGTTACCACAGAACAGTTGGGTTAGATTCAGACATATCATCCTCCCCCTGTAATATATTGCCCAAACCTTGTGCTGGATGCAGCTGCCAATAATCTCGTCCACCTTTGTCTTTCTCTGGCAGTTTGGACTGCTGACTGGCCTGGGAGCCTTGGGTCTCATGATCTGGCTGATGGCCACACCCCACAGCCGGGAGACAGAAGAGAAACGGCTGGGCATGCTGGCAGGCTTTGCCTTCCTCACTGGTAAGTGATGCTGAATGAACCGTGAAAGAACTAGAAGTGAATGCCTGTGAGGAAGCAGATAGGTACACTTACCTTGGTAAAGAGAAGATGGAGCAGATGGGGGGAGAGAGAGAGAGAGAGAGCGCACGGGTATGTGTGCGGTCATCTGTCGAGAGCCTGGCTCTGACGCTGCATCTCTTTCCCTTCTCAGGAGTCAACCTAGGACCCCTGCTAGAGATGTGCATTGCTATCAACCCCAGGTAAGAGTGCAACGCCCTGCTGCCCTTGGTCAGTCACTCTGTGCCCAGGATGTGTGCCCCTCCAGTGTGGCCAGCCTCTTTGCCTGGCTACAGCAACACCCTAGGTTTTCTACAGAAAAATGGCCAGTTTTGTTGAAATTTAAAATCAAGCCATCCTTCACCACATCATCCTAAAATACAATTTCCCCTACACAGCATGCTTTAGTCTGGAATGTGAGATGTGATTCAGAATGCCAACCTGCTCCATCCAGGTTGTTCTGTATCACGCCACTAGTTACAAGGCCCTCCTCCTGATAGCCAGATAACATCTTGAACTAACAGTGTCTGTTTCCAAATCCTGAGTATGGTTGTGTAACTTCCATGAAGTGCAAATGACTGCTGAGAGTTTCACCAGCTTTGCCCCCGTACCCTGCCCCCCCAAAAAAACCCCTCTTCAGGCATTAGATTCAGCACCCCTGGGATAAAGCTCCCACCTTTTACCTTGTCTTTTTCTCTCACTCCAGCATAATTCCAACTGCTTTCATGGGCACAGCAGTGATCTTCAGCTGCTTCTCCTTGAGCGCTCTCTATGCCAAGCGCCGTGCCTATCTGTACCTAGGAGGTAAAGATCAGCACATCCTCTTTATTTTTCTTCCCCTCCCAGACCCGAGGCAGTAATGCTTCCTATGTCCTGTCTTTGTACATCATGGGTCTGTTCCCTTCTTGCAGGTGTCCTGTTCTCTGGCCTGTCCCTGATGCTCTTCTTCTCTCTGATCAACATTTTCATGGGCTCAACTTGGCTCTTCACAGTGAGTGGCTCTGTGTTCTTGACAGGAAGGATAAAAATCACATTTAAAAAAATCAAATTATTTTGAATCATGAGTTAAATTAAAAATGGATTATTTAATCTGATTTTTAAAATTTAAATCAGGATTTATATCACAATTTAAGTTTGTCACATGCCAGACAAAAAGGCCCTTTTCGGTATGAGGGCTTGCCCAAGAATAGTCTGCTAATAAGGGTCATAAAAGCTGCCTGGGTTCTCCTTTTGTTTTATTATTTTAAAAGGTAGGACTTCATCAGGTCTGTAGTTTACCAAGGAAGTAAAGGACACCAGAGTTCCTCATCCAGAATCCTGTGATGTCCATGTAAGGTGAACCTGCAAGCCTCCTTTTCTTGCATAATTCCCTTCCTGATAGTCCTGTGGGTGGGAGGAGCAGGCAGAGAGCAAAGGGGCTCCAGGGGCTGCTGAAGCCTCTTTTCCTGACTGGTGGAAATGGCATTCACAGGTTTTGGCAGCATATATCCAACTGTACCTTTGCAGCTGCAAGGACCTGGGAGATGGGCTTCCCAAACTTGAAAGGAATGCAGAGATTCTTGGGAGGCTGATATTTTTTTACCCGGATACAGGTTCTGCCGTGATTTTCACAAAGCATCTCACAGCTGAGAACAAGAGTGGTACAACCCCAGGAATGTCCTTAGCATGTGGCAGGGCCAGTTCGAGCAGTACAGTTTGACTGCCCCTTGACTCTGGGACTGTCTTCTTCCCCCAGGCTAACCTCTACATTGGACTTATGGTGATGTGTGGTTTTGTGCTGTTTGACACTCAGCTCATAATTGAAAAAGCTGAGAATGGAGACAAGGACTACATTTGGTGAGTACCTGGAAAAAATTGTGATCAAGTGTCACACTCAAGCCTCATGTACCTAGACGTGAAGGAGAGAGGTCCTGCAGGGAGAGTAGTAATAAGCAATAGATAAGACACAAGGTGCAAAACGGACATTAAGGGAAGACATACCATTACAGTGGTGCCTCATTTAACGATGTATTCGCTTAGCGATGAGGTTTCTGGAGCTATTTTGCGCTCCGTTTAACGATGTTCCCTATGGGGAAAATTCGCATAGCGATGTTCGGGACCTTGCCTCACTTAGCGATGACAGTTTTAGGTCCCCTGTTTCGCTTAGCGATGTTCCGTTTTCGCTATTTTTAAAGTGTCTTAAAAGGTTCAAAAACGGTTTTAAATGCTTGGAATCGTTAGAGCACCTTCTAAAACATGTGCAAACTTAATTTGGCTTTGTTCTGACTCTTCGTTAATTTTTGGTGAATTTTTCCCCCATTGGAAAGCATTGAACCCGATTTTGACAGCTGTCAAACCTGTAGTTCAGTGCTTTCCAATGGGGGGGGGGAAATTCGCCAAAAATTAACGAAGAGTCAGAACAAAGCCAAATTAAGTTTGCACACGTTTTAGAAGGTGCTCTAACGAATCCAAGCATTTAAAACTGTTTTTGAATCTTTAAAGACACACTTAAAATTGCAAAAACGGACATCGCAAAAACAATTGAAATGAATTGAATAGGCTTCAATGCATTCCAATGGGGGATACATTGTTTCGCTTAGCGATGTTTCCTATGGGGATTTTCACTTAAGGACGGCAATCCGTTCCCATTGGAACGGATTAGCTGGTTTTCAATGCATCTCTATGGGAAAACGTGTTTCGCTTAGCGATGTTTTCCCATAGCGATGTTTTTTTGGGAACCAATTAACATCGGTAAGCGAGGCACCACTGTAGCTGCTTCTGTTCAGAAAGGCACCTTTGCTGTCTCTGGCCACCAGTTTCAACCAGAAAGGAAAGATGTGGAATTTCAGGAAGAGGAGCTAAAATATTTCCTAACCCAGTGATCCAAAATTCAGTACGGAAGCAGAGGGATTTGTGGAAATGGGTGTCTTGCTTTACTAGAAGTCTCCTTAGTTCATGCTTTATAAAACCAGTGCTAGATCCAAGGAAGGCCATTTCAGGGATACTTGGTGTGGCTTTGAGTTTCATCTTCAACCTCCTTTCTCTTCCTGCCAGGCACTGTGTGGATCTCTTCCTGGATTTTGTCAACATCTTCCGGGAGCTCATGGTCATCCTGGGCATGAACGAGGTCAGTCTGTACTCTTGAGGATGTCGCTACTAAAGCTGAGTCCCTCTTTGCCCCAAGACAAACGCAAGGCTGGAAAGCACACTGAGGTTGCCCGAGACACTTCCATCAGGAGGCTTTCCTCTTTCCATGTGCCAGAGTGGCGGAGAAGCAAAAGGAGAGAGTCCAAGCAAATAGAGGGCTCAAGTGATGGCAGTTCTAGATAGATGTCCTGAACCAGTTTTGCCAAGATCTTCTCTTTACGTCTTCACCGCGCAGTGATAATGCTGCCTCCTGTGGTCCGGAAATATTGTCCAGACTCCTGTTATTACATTGGTCAGTCATGCTGTTGGGTGGGGCTGACAGCTGCAGGGCTTACACCCATAAGAGTGGAGGAGGAGGAGGAGGAGGGAAGGTGTTCTTGTCTCCAGGCAACTGTTAGGTCTTTTATTTTGCCCAGACACCAGAGCCATAATGAGGTGTTTCCCTTTCCCTTTCAGAACAAGAAGAAGAAGGAGAAGTGAAGGACCGCTGGATGCTTGTGTGGAATCTCCCGTTTTCTTATCCCTCTTTTTTGCCTCCTCCTCGCTTCTATCCAACCTGACCTGTATTAAAGGTGTCCCCCATCCCACCCGTTATTCTGTGTGAATGAGAAGCATCTGTGACACTTTCATACTTGGTGGAATTTATTTTCTCAGTTTTTGAGCCTTTTTGAAAAGCTAACTGGCTGATCCTAATGCTGGAGTCTGGCTTTGGTCCACTTTCTGTATGTACACCAATAAACCCTGTGTAACTCTCGTTGCTCAGATCCATCCTATTGGGAGTGGCCCTACAGCTTTTGCTGGCCAGCCTTCCTCACCTCTTTTCTGCCCTCCTCCCCAGCACACTGAGAGCAGAGTGGCAGAGGCAAGCTCACCCCAGCAGTTTCTGCTGCCGGTGAAGAGATAATGGTTATGAGATGTGCCCTTGCCAGGCAGATGGTGAGTGCAGATCCTTGCTAGAGGCCGTTTTGTCTGGGAAGTGGCCGAAATGAAATAAGATGCACCCCTATGCACATGCCCCATCTGAGCCTTAGTTCTGCTACTGAGTAAAGAAACCTACCTCTGGTGAAAAAGAAGCGGTTTCTTCTGGCACGCATCTTGACTTTCAGCAACTAAGGCAAGTAGTCTTTGGAGTCAGTGGTCAGTCTGGGAAAAGGATCTGTGCGGTTTTATGCCTGTGTAGCTTTGGCTTTGGTTTTGCTGAGTGGCAGTGAACCCATTGGTTCGGAGTTGAGGGCATTATTATGCCCAGTCTAGATTCATGAGGCTTGCCAGGAGCAGGGACTCTAGTTGAGCAGGGCAGCTCTGATCAAGGGTGTCTGTGCCATCCCTTCTATTAATGTCTGCAGGGGAATTTGTTGGAGGTACCAGCTGCCTGTGAGGCAGGAAGAAGAGCAACTCTTGCCTAAGGTGGAATTTGTGCATGAAAAGAGTTCTGTGTACAAGTGTGTTAAGAAACCTTAAAAGCTTCCACGGCAGCAAGCCAGGTAATGTTTCTCTTTCCCTTCTTGACGCCCGAAGCCAGACTTCAGTTTTGCTTGCTTTGAGAGAATAAAATATATATATTCTTCTCCCCCCCCCCTCTTCTTCTTCCTCTCTTCTCCCTCCTTTGGAACCAGTGCCAAGAATTAAACTTTGAGAGATCTACTTTATAGAGACCTTGTCTAACAGGTTTTAATACAGTAATGACTTAAACTCTGTCGCTCATTGGATGTCCAGCTTTAGCTGCATTCGTTGGACTCCTACCGTGAAGAGACAGGGTTTTTAAACAACAAAAAGGTGTTTTGATTCAAATATGAAATTTACATTGTCTTGCTTTGTACGGGGAAAGAAAATATTAAAATAAAAATCCTCAAACTTTAACCTTTACCTTCTATTTCCTGTTTGGCTTTCTCCGAGGCTGTGCTCTTAAACTTGGTTTCTAATGGATTTTGGTGTACAGCCAGGGTTTCCGCACCACCTGCAGTTGAGAGGGTCCCGTCGGTGTTTTGTGACACCACCTTACCTGCCCATAGAATTGCTAATTTTCTTACTTGGTGGGGGGGCTGATCTTGGGCAGGGCTGAGGAAGTGCCCCTTCTGGCAGCCATTGAATTCCTCATCATCCTTAGCTGGACTGACCAGTGTGCCATCAGTTAGGTTGATTAAACGTAACTGGTAACTCATCAACAGTTGTGGGGTCTATTCTGGGGCAGAGCGTTGCTTTACCAGGAGAGCTAAGGGTGTGACTGCAGAGTGAGGGAAATGCACACCCACTTGCTATGAAGTTGTACTGAGGAATTTGGGTATGTTACTTAAAGCAAAGTGTGCACCTTATATACTGCCCAAAAGTGCTTAAAGCACTCTCTGGGCAGTTTACAGGTTTTTGTTTTGAGTTACCGGTATGTAGGCTACACATTTAAATAGCCACCTTTGAACCCAACTGTGGTTCCGTCTACAGTCCTGCAGGCGGCCCTGTTCAAAGAACGCCATGAAGAGGCCATGAGTTTTCCTGTCTCCAGTGCTTGCCTCCCACACAGTTTAGCTTTGTTAAGCGGTTAAAAAAAACGCAGGAGAGAGTTGCCCAGAAAGAAAGAGGAGCTTTTTCTAAAAGAGGAGCCTTAGGCAGGAGAAACTGCTAAGCAGAGTGCATGTGTGGGTGCGCGCGCGAGGGAAGAGGCAAGGGGAAAGGGGCTTTTGAGTGTGCACATGTACACCACCACCTTGCTTTCTGCCTTGATTCAAGTGACCACATGCTTGAATTGATTCGAACTATTTGGTATCACAGGGGTTTAGAGCCCTGGGTAGCCCGGGTGTTCTTGGACTGCAACTCCCAGAAACCCTGGCCAGCACAGCTGATGGTGAAGGCTTCTGGGAACTGCAATCCAAAAACATCTGGGTTACCCAATGCTGGGAACCACTGTGTTATTAGAACGTCTCTTCATGGTCCCCCAGTTACTTATAGGCAGCTCTCATGCCAGTGCTTCTCACGGAACAAGGTACTGTGAGAATTATCTTCCAAAACTGTCTCAAGAGTTTCAGGGTGCCTTTCCAACCTGAAGTTGAGCTCCTGGTGCGAAACTCTTTTCCAGAGGGTTTGAGGCTCCCTGGACCCTGGGAACGTGCTGCTTAGAGAGGGGGAAATCGTGGCCATCATCCTTGAAAGGCAGCTTACTCCTCCTCCTCCTCCTGGGATTGCAACTCCTCTTGGCACTGGCCCCGCTGACACAGGTTGATGGACACTGTCATGTACTTTGGAGAGCTACAGCTTCTCCTGCCTAGCCTGGCCCATTTTCTGCAGAGACCGAAGCAGCCTCCTGCCTTTGCCATCCACTACAAATTTGCTGAGTGGGGTGCATGGGCTGTGTAACACCATGTTGCAGACTCTTCTCCTTCCTATCAGATGGTATTGCTGCTACTTCCATTTCTCACCCCTAGGGGGTGCCATGACATTGCAGGAAAATAGTGGAGTGCCCTTCCCTCTAGGATGAGCACTGACATGGATGCCAGCATCCTCACCGGAAGTGTGGGGTTCCCATAACTGTGCCGGTGCCTGGGGGAGTGAAAAGTCCTGTCATGTCGCAAGATACAGTATATGTATATATCTTTGCTGTTTGGTGGAAGAGGGTGTCACTGATGTCTTCCCAGTGAACTAACCAACCTCCTACCAATGGGCACCAGTATCATACTGAAGAGGACTAAGGTCTCACTCAGATCCCACCTGCAACCCACCATATATATAGCTGGCAAGCAGTATTGCCAGGGACCAGAAAGAACAATGCTCCTATCCCCACCTCTGGAACACTGGGAGAAAATCTAACCTGAGTAAGTGGCTGAAAGAGAATGCCTCTTCATGCTGCCAGGAGCAGCCTGGGGAATTGTGCATCTTTCCACATTTGAGGAGGAAACAGATTTTACAGAGGCCTTGTGGTTAAATGGCAGTACTGCAGTGAAGACTGTGCTCATGACCTGAATTTGATCTGGACAAGATCAGCTAGCCAGCTCAAGGTTGACTCAGCCTTCCATTCTACCCAGCTCGTAGGGGAGCGGGAGTGCCTAATTAAACTGTAAACTGCCCAGAGAGAGCTTTAAGCACTATGGGGCGGTATATAAGCAGCATGCTTTGCTTTTAAGCTAGACGCAGGGAGAAACTGCAGTCCGACTATTAAAAATTACAGAAACATACCACCTTGATCTAACTGGAAAAATCACCATTTAACAAAAAAAAAAAAATTGTAGGCTTTATTTAGCACAAATGCTGTGCAGGTTAAACTCCTCTCTAATACCCAGCCAAAAGAATCCATACACTTTTTTAAATCCCCCTTTATTTTCTGGGAGAGGCAAGACAATAAACATTCTCATTTCACAATAACTTATATAAATAAAAAGAGAAGCAAAAGACATTTTTTTAAAAATCAAATTTTAAAAAGGACAACAAAAAGGAAGACTCATAGGGAAAGGAGTCTGTACACAGCAAAATAGCACCATCTGAGGAACTCTGTGGCTCCCATAGAAACAGAAAGGATAGCTTGACTGAAAATTAGAACAGCAACATCAATAACTTAAAATTTAAAAAAAATGTACACAAAAAGGAATGAGGAACCCAGCTATCCTTTCCTGAACCCACAGTAGCTCCAAGGCCTAAGAAGACCCGGTTCGCATTGAAAAACATCTCAGCAGGTTCACTCGCGTGGGTTTGTGGATGATGGGGGCAAAGAGGAAGAAATAATTCCCAGAAACCAAGCTGGGCGGGGGGAGAGTGCACCGAAAAAGCACTGACTCTCATTAAAGAGGGACGTGAGGTCACTGTCGCTGCCAAACCCTCCTTCCTCCCAATCTTTTGTTTGGGACACTCTTCTGCACTTCCAATCTTGAACGGAAGAAATGGATTGAAGGCCCCCACTCCACTCCTCTTCCTCAGTGGACTACAGAGGCCCAGATCTGGCAAGGGTTCATCTACACTCCAAGTGTCAAGTGGTGGAACGACTGAGGTGATAATACTTCAGCAAGACTGTACAGACTGTGAGGTAAAAAAAAGGGGGGGAACTTTCAAAGATGGGATGTTTTTCCACACTGAGAGATGCCTCTGAGGCCTTGGGCACTTCCATGCAGCAACTGGCACCTGCCAGTCTGAAAAATGGAGGTCAGAGTGAGATTTCAGCTGGTGGAAATTCAGAGGTTTGTGAGAGGAGCAGCTCACTGGAGCCTGGCAAATATACTTTTTGGACTACGTGCTGGCTAGGGGATTCTGGGAGCTGCAGTCCAAAAAAGTAACTTCTCCAAGGTTGTTAACCTAACCTTTAAGGGAGAGACCATTTCCTCAGAACACTTCAAAAATGCCACAGACCAGGTCTGGCAGAGTGCCTGGGAATCAACGTCAGCCGTTAAGGAGCTTGCAATCCCAAGAGACGGACCAGGGGACTAGCGAGCACGGCTGAGCCCACGCCTCCACCGAAGGACACCTTTTGAGAGGCGCAGAAGGGGCACCTCCACAGCCCAACAGGCTGAATGCCACTCCTCAGGAGCCTGTGGGCTGTCTCCTGTCTTGCCCAATACCACCCACCCACCCCTTCTTTCTCTGATCCCGTCTCATTTCTTGACAGCCTCCAGGTAGCAAAATGTCCCCTGCCCAGAGATACGGGGAGGAGAGCTGAGTGTGGAAGACCTATTGTGTTCTGGTTCAGGGCCAAGATTTGGTTTGGGAGGATCACGTAGGAGCCAGCAGGCAAGCGCTAGGCCCTTTAAAGCACCAGAGAAGAAGAAGCATAGGGTGAGATCTGCCAAGGAAGCCAATGCTCTCCTGTGGCCCCTGCCACCGTGGCCAAGCTCAGCCCTGGCTGCCACAGGAGGACAAGCTGTCATAAAGAGAGTCACTGAGGGACTCGGAGTTCTCTAGGCCCGGTTGCCCTTCGGGCCCCATATCTCTGGAACGGGCCTCTGTGCTGCCTTCTTCGCCCACGTCGGAAGCGCTGGGAGTCCGGCTGCTGCTGGTGCTGAAGGCGGGTGAGGCCTGAGGCCCTTCTGATGACGCCCGTCTTCTCTCCACGACGCTGCAAGCCGAGCCCTGCAGATACAGAGGGCGGGGAGACAGGACTGCTGAGGGACAAGGACGTCAGAGCCACAAGAAGCGGCAGCATCGACTACAGAAACTTTGCATGCCAGGCACCCCTCCATCAGCACTCGGTAGGCCTTAGGGGTGACGTCACCTTCACAGTCCCCACCTTTCCAGAGGGAAGCAAGCAAAGGCCTTTCGCACAATGCACTCCCCATGGCAGAGAGCAGCCTGAACTCACTGCCACCTTTAGTGTGGTTTTAGAGATATGGGTTCAAATCCGTCAGGGTAGGCAAAGTGCAGCTCACCAAATGCTCTCAGGAGGCAACCAAGGATTCTTCACCACCAGCTATGCAGGTGAGGGCCTACGGGAGTGAAATCTGACCACCTCTGCATGGACAACAGAGATTTGGGTGACAGCAAGACTGAACGGCAGTAAAATGGAGGCTGGCCCAACTTTGGTCAATACACAGGGTGTCAAAAACAGGGCCATTGCCCTCAGAGGTCCTCCCTTGCTGCTTGTTAGCATTTGCCAGTGAAAACTGTGGCCTGCCTTTCCTCCCATGGCGAGGTGACATTTGTGTCATTCTTGCCACTGGCCCGCTCTGTTCCCATTTACCAATCTCCCTGCTCCCCTGGACCTGCCCCCCTGTCCACAACAGCACCCCATGCCCTTCCTTCTTACACAACATACACAAACAACCTGAACAATGCTCTGCACTTCACAAATAAAGCAGCTGGGGCTATGCTGAACAGAAGGATGAGCGCAAAGCCTTTTAACCACCAGTGGGTGAGCAGCCCCTCTGGCTTGTCTTGGACTGCCATCACCATCCCGCCAACTAGCACCGACACTGGCAAGAGAGGAGGGGGAGCTGCCATCCCTACGCATCTGGGGGAGCCCATGTTCCTCATTCCTGCTGTTTAAACCTGGCTACTGAAAAAAACCGTAGCTTTGGCTATGCGGACCTTTGTCGGCAAGGTGATGTCTCAGCTTTTTAAGATGCTGTCTAGGTTTGTCATCGCTTTCCTCCCAAGAAGCAGGCGTCTTTTCATTTTGTGGCTGCTGTCACCATCTGCAGTGATCATGGAGTCCAGAAAAGTGAAATCTGTCACTGCCTCCATATCTTCCCCTTCTATTTGCCAGGAGGTGATGGGACCAGTGGCCATGATCTTAGTTTTTTTGATGTAGAGCTTCAGACCATTTTTTGTGCTCTCCTCTTTCACCCTCATTACAAGGTTCCTTAATTCCTCCTTACTCTCTGCCATCAGAGTGGTATCATCTGCATATCGGAGATTGTCAATATTTCTTCCGGCAATCTTAATTCCGGATAGGGATTCATCCAGTTCAGCCTTTCGCATGATGTATTCTGTGTTAAATAAACAGGGATGCAATATACAGCCTTGTCGTACTCCTTTCCCAATTTTGAACCAATCAGTTGTTCCATATCCAGTTCTAACTGTTGCTTCCTGTCCCATGTATGTTTCTCAGGAAATAGATAAGGTGGTCAAGCACTCCCATTTCGTTAAGGATTTGCCATCGTTTGTTGTGGTCCACGCAGTCAAAGGCTTTTGCATAGTCAATGAAGGAGAAGTAGATGTTTTTCTGGAACTCTGTGGCTTTCTCTACAATCCAGCGCATGTTGGCAATTTGGTCTCAAGTTCCTCTGCCCCTCTGAAATCCAGCTTGTACTTCTGGGAGTTGTTGGTCCACATACTGCTGAAGCCTACCTTGGAGGATTTTAAGCATAACCTTGCTAGCATGTGAAATGAGTGCAATTGTATGGTAGTTGGAGCATTCTTTGGCACTGCCCTTCTTTGGGACTGGGATGTAGACTGATCTTTTCCAATCACTCCTAAAGGACCCTAATTCTCTTCCCTCCCTTCCTTGCACTGTTTTGTAAGGCCAGCACAGTTAACACATTTCCAAGAAAGTCTCACAAGCATATGAGTTAATTCCTAAATCTGAATTCCTCAGCACCATGCTCCACCGTGGCTAAAACACCAGAAGCCATCACAGGTGAAGCCTTGGACTCACAAGTCCCAAGTGGACTGAGGCTCGTCAGAAGCCTAGCTGGGGTGACCCTGTCCAAGCCTAACCTGGCCCATCTCACCCTGACCTCCTTTCTCCACCTCCCCCTTACTCAGTTGCCACACTGCCCCCCCTCCCCTTCTTACCATTGCTGAACCATGAAGACCTTCCAGCCTATGAGGGGAAGAGAAAAAAGGGTCTGTGCCCACGGACCCTTTGGCGTTGGGGAAAGTCCAGTGCTTGCTCTGCTGGGTGTGCCGTGGCTTGCTGGGCTCACGGCAGAGATCTGCAAGAGGAGGAAAAGACAGGTGGCCAGTCAGCAATTTATAGGGGGACGGAAACCATCACCACCCTGCCTCGCACTTCCTCCGAAGGGCAGAACCAGACGTGGCCCGGCGCAGCAAGAGTCACTGTCTTATGGCACCTTAAATACTAATCAAGTTTTATTTAGTATAGGTTTTCACCTTTTAAGGTGTCACAAGACCTTCTTGGTAAAGATACCAACCTTCTGGGCAGCCCCTGCGATCACGATGCCCAAGGGGTGGCTCAGCACCGGTTAAGACCCCATGGAAAGCAGGCATGCTTTGATGCTTGCTCGGCCCCAGCAGATCCTCTGCGCTGGGCACCTCCCTCTCCAGAGTCCGGGCTTTGCGGGGCACTCGGGTGACAGGTGGGGGCCCCCGGACTGGGAAAGGGCCGACGGGAGGAGGGTCAAGTCGAGGTTTCAGCTTAGGCACACTCTTACAGGGCATCCCACTGCAGTAGTCGGGTGGAGGAAAGGTGCCAATGCCACTGTCCAGAGTTCGCGTCAGAGAGCCACATGCTGCCAAGACAAGAAGAAGCCACAGTGAGAGAAAGGGAGGGTTGGAATCTGCTGGACCCTAAGGACTACTTGTTTCCTTGGCCTTCTCAAGGGGACAAATCAGGAATGGGAAAGCCTCTGGTTCTCCAGGTACTGTACTTCAGCTCCACTCAGCAAAGGCAATGGGCATGGAAAACAGGTGATGCGTCCCACTGTTAGAACTGAATGAATTCCAGTGGGCTCCACTCTGGCTCCCACAAAGGAAGGTAGAAGACAAGAGGCCCCATTACTCTTCCCTTCATTACTCTTTCCTATCCTCCGTTTAAACTGCCTTGAACTGGGAACCTAGTCAAACCACTTCTTCAGCTTCTCCTTCTTCCCATGCCACACATCTCTCTCTCTCCCTTTCCTTCTTGCAAATAATTCACATTTGTTCCACAAAACCTTAATTTGCTTCAGTGCCTATCTCCCCCCCCCCAACAAGAATAAGAAGCATGCAGAAAGAGAGCTTAGAAAAGTTCCTTCTGGAGCCAGGGACAGGACCACAGCCTCCAGAAAAGGAAACTCTTCTAAGCTCTGAGCAGGGATGCTCACTCATTCACATTTATTTTAACGTTTATTTTAAACCACCTTGTCTCATAAATCTGAAGTCCAACACACCCGCAAATTAGAATTATCATAGTTATCAGAAAAAGTGAAACCACAGCTTACAGTCTAACTGTAAGCAGATAATACTGTCTAAAAATACTCTACACCAAAATAGCGTCTTTCCCCCATGAGACAGTTGTTGGAGAAGGGCCCACAATGCCCCTGGAGTTTTCTCTCCAACAGCCTTTCCTCTCTGGGAAACAATTCCCTGTGGCAGTTACGTCCTGTGTGCAGACAGAGTACAACTCATGGAAACTGACAAGGGATGATGGGGGTTTGCCTAGCAGAGAGTTGTGTGAACTGCACAGGAGCAAGCAGGGTGTTGTTTTGGGTGGGTAACAAGGACACTGTGAAGTTATTTTTAAAAACTTATCTTGCACTCAGTAATGTATAGGGTGCGTATAATGTTACTCCTCAAAGTTAACGTGTCGGTAGCACAGTGCTTCTTGAATAATGAGTAACATCAAGTCATTTTTCAAAAACCTCAGTAAATAAAGAGGAACAAGTTAACAAACTAACTTTTACAAATAAAATGCGGTCTCTCATGACTCGTACAGGAGTGCCATCTTACATAAATAACAATACTGGCTGCCCGGGCTGGTCTTCCCTCCCTCCCTCCCTCCCAGTTAGCTTTGCAGTAAACAGTAGCACTCTGCAAATTTCTGCACAAAAACCATCCCCATCGAGCATGGCTCTGCTGACTATACAGCGGCTGGTTCCCCCCCCCTTCTCTCCCACGTCCCTTTCACTGACAACCTCCCCAAAGCTCACCTGCAAAGTGCTGGGAGGTCACCGACTCGGCCAGGTTGTCATCGGATGGGACCTCCTCTCTCAAAGCTGCATCCCGAAGCTGGGTGGAAACAGGGAGATGGGGAAGCAAAGGACCTTGGGGAGGTGGGAGGACTGTGTGGGGGGGGTGCCCGACGGCCCGCCTGCCCACCCGCTCCTCCATGAAGGACACCAGGAAAGGAGAGTGGTGGTGGTGTTGCTGCTCCAGACTCGGCTCACCTTAGTCGGGGCCTCCGGGCAAGCATGGAGGTGCCCAACAATGCCATTGCGCGGAGATCGGACAAGGCGGGGATCTTTGGCATCACGCAGACCTCTCTGCAGGCCCTGCAGCTCGTTCTTCTGCTCCAGGTGAGTCTCAAAGGGAGCCTCTTTCCCATCCACCCTGCAGCACAGAAGACGTGAGGACCAGCCAGCCTCCCCCTCCCCCTCTTCTGGAGTGCTTTTCCTCCTTTCCGTGGAGCTCAGCCTTGCTTCTCTGGTGCCAGCAGATCAGAAAGACTACCCCCTCTGAGGGGCGAAAAGCAGAAGCGGCACCCACCCACCTCTAGGCAGCACAAGGACTGCCCCAACTCAAGACATCGCCATGGCCGCCTTGCTTCCGCCCACTCCCTGGTCACCCGCATACCCTGGCATGGTAAAAGCCAGAAAGCCCCGTTCTCTCCCTGTAACTATTGCTCTCCTCAGCTTTGTTCTCCACTTTGCATCTCAGCACAAGCATGGAAACTAGGACAGAATTTGGTGGCCTGAAGCACCACTTATGTTCTTTAAGATGTCCGTCGTTGGGGTGTGGCAACTTCCAACCATCAAAGAGGTGAAACAATGGGAGCAAGTGGTGAAGGCAATGGATATCCGTTGAGGAGAGAGCCAGGCTTCTCACTCTCAAGTAGGAAGGCCCCAGAATCCTGCAGGGAGCTATTTGCTCCTCTCCACAGACGGCCTGGCCTCACTCTTCTTCCCTCCTCCCAGGTTTGCCAAAAATATTTCCACATCTCCATGCAAACGTGGGATGCGGGGCTGCCGGTGAATGAAACGCTGCCCCCTGTTTCGTCATGGTACCTGTTCCTGTTAAGGGGAAAGCAGCTTTACCGTGGAGCGCTTTGAAGAAAAACAAACACCTCTCTCCATCAGGTCCCCTTGAGGCTCCGGCCTTCCTCTCTCACCTACCTGTTGAGCAGCTGCTGCATGAAGTTCTCCGCAGTCACCTCCTGGTACATGAGGGTGAGCTGGCTGTGGCCAGTATCGCAGGCATGGGGCCGGGGCTTGTCCAGCGCCAACCCATTGATGTAGGCTTTTTCCTCTTCCAGGGCTTTGCGTAGGTCCTCTGCCTTCTCCATCAGTTTGGAAATGTTTAGGCTCTCGGCTTCCAGTCTCCGAGAGGCCAGCTTGCCCTCCTTCACCTTGGGGGCCTCTGGCCTGCGGCTGAGAGCGGGCAGTTTGCTCTTGCGCAGCCCGAACCAGCTGGCTAGGCCGCTGGAGTTCTTCTGCTTCGCTTCGCCGGCCGCTGGCCCTCCTTTGTGCCTGCGCAGGACATTCTCCTCAATGCCTTTCATCACCTTCTCTTCGATGGTGGCTGGGGCCCCGGGTTTGCCCTTGGCCGGGTCTGGGCAGGGCAGGTTCCTCCGCCCCATGCTGGCGGGTGGTTTGGCTGGTGGCGGGCAAGGCTTGGGTTCCAAGGGGGGAGGCTTCGTTGGCGACTTGGACGGCAGCTTGGTCGGACTCCCGTGAGGGCTCTTTGCATTCTTCCCTGGTGGCGGGGGCTTGGTGGGATTTCTCGTGGCTGGCACCCCCAACAGACGGCTCTTGGAGACGTGGTGCTCAGGGTCACTCCCGCGGGAGCCGACGGAGTGAGAAGCGTAGCACCGAGGCGCTGGCTCACCACCGTGGCAAGGCTCGTGGTACTTGAGGCTGCTGCTCCCTGTGCCCAGCCGGGGATGGGTCTCGGCCAGGCCCTCCACACGCTCACAGGGCCGGACCGGGCCCTTCCCCTTCTCCACGCTTGCCAGCTCTTTCCCCTCACCTCCTTTCAGTCTCCCAAGCACTGACAGCCGCTCCCTGAAGGGCATGTTGGCCGTCTCAGGCGCTGCCCGCTTGCTGGGGCCATTCAGGACCTTCTTAGAGCCATCAGGGTTTCGGCGCGCTAGAGGGGGCGAGTGCCGGGCCTCGGGGACCGGCTTCTCTGGGCCGCCCACAAAGTGGCAGGGCTCCAGGCAAATGTCACCAGCGGGCCCTGCCAGAAGGGGTGCTGAGCGGCAGGGAGGTGGGAGGCCTTCGGGCCCCTCCAGCCTGCCATCTCGGGGCGAAGGAGAGGGAGAGCCGAGGGCACTGCTGAGGGAGAGCTCCAAGATGTTCTCATAGTCATGGGGGGGCCTGTGGTAGCCAAAAGGCTCTGGGGAGGTCGGTGTGACCTTGGGGGGCCCAGGAATAAGGTGCCGGGCAGCCTTGGGTGAGGGATGCCCCCCAGCAACACTGGGGTCACTGGGGAAGGGGCTGTCCGGGGAACCCTTGTGGCTGGGGGTCGGAGAGTGGTACACCTCGTAGGTGTTGCTGCGGCAGGGGATTTTGGAGCTGCGGGTAAGCTGGGGGCTGAGCCGAAGGGCAGCAGGGTTGGGCGGCGGCGGCGGCGGCGGCATTTTCAATAGCTTTAGCACCTTAGAAGGAGAAGGCACGGGCGGGCCTTGCGGAGATTCATCCTTGCCCTCGCTTGGGGCTAGGTAGGCAGGTTCACGGGAGGCGGAGGGAGGCCCCAGGCCCTCCAGACAACGGACGGCCTGGAGTCGCTTGTAGCTACGGAGCTGGCCTTCCGAGGCCTCCAGCAGGCAAGGTCCATTGGGCTCCCCATTGAGCAGAGCAGTGTCGCCTGCTTCCCTCAGGACCTGCTGCAGGTAAGTCTCCACATCCCCCAAATCTAACTTATGCTCGGCCAGGGCACTCAGCAGCACCTGCCCGGGGTGTCCTTTCTCAGGGGGATCGGATTCGCCAGCCTCATCGGATGAGGAGGAGGAGCTGCCCTCCCCTTTGATAGGAGGCTGCCTGGCCACCCTTTCTCCTTGGGTCAGCAGCAGGCAGGGCCAGGCTTCAGCCGTCACACCTTCTGGGGAACCAGCTTGCCCGGGGTCTCTCCAAGGAGCGGGGAAAGCCAGCAGGGGGTCCATCTCTTCCAGGGAGCGAAGGACCTCCAGGATTTGGGCCTTCTTCCGCAGGAACGGGGACAGCGCCTCCAGAGCCTGGGGGTTGGGCCCAGGGGTGCCAACACAAGGCTCCTCGGAGATGATCTGAGAAAAGCCAAAGAGAGAGGAAGACACTAGTAATTCTCTCAGCTCTTAGGCCCGTGTGAGAGCCAGCGCGGTGTCCTGAACAGAATGCTGGACTAGGACGCAGGAGACCTGGGATCAAATCCCCGACTGCTCTTGAAAACTGAAGCATGGGCGAGTCATGGTAAACTTCCCCTTGAATATCTCATATGCCTTGCAAACCTTATCAAAGTTGTTGTAAGCTGGAAGCAACTTGAAAGCACAAAACAGTAAGAGTGCCAGGCAGAGAAGAGTCTTCTGCAAGGTCTGCAACCCAAACTGGTATTGCCAAGGGTTAAACTGGACATTTTCTACACAGAAAAATAACATCTCTGCCATTGAACTACGGTCCCTTACCATGCAAAGCATGGTCTTGACTGCTACCTTTGTAACACAAATTGGGAAGCAAACTGGATGAAACGGAGCTTGAAACCTTCCCTTTTTCAATTTTTTTTTACTACAACTCCCAGAATCCTCCAGCCAGTGTGGGCACTAGCTGGGGATTTGGGAAATTCTAGTTCCAGAACACAATCTTTGGAAGCTCCTGATGAAAGAGTTTAAAGGCCAGGAACTCTACCAGGGTGAAATGGCAGGGGCCTGGACCCAAGTGGCTTTTCGGCAACATTTCTGAACCTCTGGCCTCCTGTCCCAAGCGCACTCTTCCATCACGCAGACTATTCAAAGGCCATGTCTCAGCCATCTGATGGCCTCCTATCAGTTAGGAATGAAGAGTCCTAGATCTTTCTCACTCCGTGCAACTACCTGCTTGCTGGAACGTCTTCTTACCTGTTCAAGCCCCTCTTCTAAAAAAAAGTACCTCCACTTCGGGGTGGGGTGGGGAGATGGAATACATCAGTAGTGACCTGGATCCACCTCACATCCATTCCCCTTAAAAACAAGAACCTAAGCCGTGTCCCTCAAATTCTAGGCATCTGTGAGAGAGGGCATCCGGCAGCTGGAGACATCAACTGCATCTCAGGTATAGACAATGCTGAGCTGTGCAGCAATGTCGCCATTAATACTCTGGGCACTGTTCCAAGAAAGGCACACCTGCCATCTCTTCAGTTGCCACAGTGCATAAAGCAGTGGGAGGGGGGGACGCCCGGGTGGCTGGGTGTCGCTGAGGCAGCTCTCACCGTTCTGTCCTTTCCAAGAGTCGAAGAGTGGTGGACAAAGGAAGGCTTGTAGACCTACCTCTCTCGGTGGGATGCAGCACCCCGAGGGAAAGGGAGCTGGGAGTTTCTCTACTGTGCCTGTCTGGGAATTGGAGGACAGGTCCAAGAGCGAGGAAGCAGGGTGGGCTGGAAACTGGGGAGAAAATGCACACCACAGAGGACCTCCATGAAACCACATTCAGGCTGTAGATGGGAACCCATCCACCCCCACCCTGCCAGACACAAGGGGTACGATGGGTAAATGAAGCCACTACACACTGATGATGGCTTCGCATCATCCCTTTCATATCTGCCAAGGATGTCAGTCACCTAACCCGTGGAGAAGAATCTGTGGCACGTCCAACACAGATTCCCCAACAGGGTGAGACTGTGCGACAGGAAAGTGGCTCATGCACCTATCCGTGCCTATCCCTGCTGTTCTTCTACAAAGGGGGCTGATCTGAGCCCCCATATCATTGAGGCCTCACCCACTCCACAACCACAATAAAATGACACCGTGATTCCTTTTGCCCAATGACAGGAAACTACTTGAGGGCAGGTGAAGAAAACAACACTGGAGAGAAAGAAAGACCTGTATGGCCCAAAGAAGAAGCCCCAAGCTCACGGATGAAAAATGGCACAGGAAAGAAAGCAGAGGAGCTCCTGGGTGAAGGGAGGCTGAGCAAAGCCGGAAAGGGGACACAGCAAAGGTCCGTTTTCAGAATGACTGACGGGAACAACAGAGATCCGTGAGACCCCCTCGTGATACACCATCAAGCTTTCTACCCAACATATAATCAAGAATTCTTATCAGCATAAGTGGGAGGTTGATTATTGATCAGTTCCAGATGCACTGAATTAGTACACAAGGTGCAGAATGAACCATTACGGAGGGCAAAATGGCATATCAAATGCACAGAAGTTTCATAAAGACAACGAATCAGCTAAATGACTTACCCAGCTGAAGGTATAATCTCTCTCTCCCTCTCCCTCCCTCTCTCTCTCTCTCTGTGGTCAATAGTTTTGTACAACGTCAGGGATGGGGAATAAGAAACCTCCAGATGCTGTTGGACTATGAGTCCCATCATTCCTCCCCACTGGCTATGCTGGCTAGGGCTGGTGGGAGCTGCAGCTTAAGAGCACCTGGAAGGTCACACACATTCATGGCCCTTGAACTAAATACTGAATCCTTTCCAGTTCTTTTAATTCCAAGAATTTCACTAAGGTCAATAAAAGACCAACAAATTGGTGAGCATACCCCATATGGGCACTTGGGCAAAGAGGAAAACAGAGTGCCAGAGAGACTAACCTGGGAGAGAGGGCCAGAGGTCAACTTCTGGTGGAAGAGGTCACTGAGGGCCTGGTTTTGTCGCTCAAGGTCAAAGACCCGCTTTTTCAGCTTGATGCATTCTTCCCGGAGATCCTAAAGAGAAGGGAAGAGCTGACCCCTGTATGGCTGCAAGATGGCAGATGGGGGCAGTGGCACGCACGCATGCACGAATACACGTACACGCATGCACACACACACATACACGCACACACACACACACCAGCCTCCTTCCCTCCTCCACAAGACAGAGATTCACCTTTTGGTTGAGCAAAGCCTGCACCACATGATTGGCTACCTGTAGAAAGTAAGGAGCCGGTGTTAGCAAAACATGGTTCCTGGGCCCAGGCCGTCGGGGGCCTCAGGGGAAGTAGGAAGTCAACATGGAGAAGGAGTACCTCGTCCAGGCAGCGTTCGTAGGTCTCTCGCTGGTTCTCGTTGGCTTGGGCCAGGGCGGAATTCTCCGCCTGAGGGAAAGGAGAGGAGTCAAGACAACATGAGAGAGGGCTAGGAGTTAGAACCCTAGGTCTCCTTTCCCAGAGACAGATGGGAAAAGGGAGGGATAACCCTTCAGGAAAGTTTTCGTAGAGCAGCTACTATAACGACAAGGCTCGAGTCATGTGAAAGGCAGCGCAGGGCCAAGGCCACCATTTCAGGGAACAAAGAGAATTCAGAACACAAAAGCTGCAAATTCATTCACTCTTATCGGCTTGCTGCCGCCCTCCCACCACGGTTCCAGCTCTAATATACGTCGGCCCAGAACACATGTCCAGGATGGAAGTTACCCGTTCTTGTGACTCCTACACATGCCTCACTGAGAAGACACTGAAGAATCTCGTGGTGTGATTCGCTTGCACAAGCCGTCCAGGCCTCTGCTCCCTGAAAGCGCATGTCCACAGGACCAGCGCACTCTGTGCATAATGCCCGGGAGACTGCATCTCATCAGGAGGCCATCTGATACAGTGGTAAGCAGAGCAGTTTGTCTCCTTTGGAAGATTTCCAAGCCTTTCCCTTTCCCTTGTTGCTCCCTTTCCCTTGTTGCAGCTGTGTGTCACTGTCATACCTTAATCTAAAGCAGTGGTTGGCAACTGCTAAGGCTGTGGGAGTCCACTGAGGCCTTTTCAGCCTGCCACAGGTCACGCCCTGCAGTCGGAATTGAACTACTAGCAATCTGTCTTTAAAATAAGGTGTACAAGGAACATGCACCTTGTTTCCAAGCTGAACTGCAAGCCCTTTGCACACCTCCTTTTATAGGTAAACTACTGGGGGATGCTGGTGTTGACACAGCAACGCCAAACTTCAGTAGCACAGCAGCAGATGCCACAAGGCAGCAGGATGTCAGGGGCTGGAGAAGGGTCTTGGTCAACCCTTCCGCCAGTCTGTTGATCTCTGTGTGCTCATCCCACCTTCCTGAGCAGAGCGTTGAGCCACTAAAGTAAGACAGACACGGCCACGTACTTCCAGCTCCCGGAGTCTCTGAAGAAGCTCTTGGGTTGTCACTGGTTCCCCACAACTGCCTCCTTCGGCCTTCATCTCGCTCTGCAGTTTGGTTTCAGACATCATTTCCTTTGGGAAAAAGAACAGGCAACTCTCCATGCTATGAAAGTGCTAAGTATCATATTCCTTGAGATGAACAGAGTGCCAGAAATGTGGACTACTGGACAAAATCGCTTCTACAATGCTGCTTCTTATTTAAAAGGTGGTCTGGAATTACAGGAGAAGGGTTTTTGTTTTCCTGACAGAAACTTGATGTCTCTTTCAGGGATCAATGATGGCCAAAAAATCGACAAGCACAGTTCTGTATCTCCCACATGGGAAAGTGATTACAGTTGACATTCTGACTATCATCATACAGAAAAGTAAAAACATGTGAAACTTCATTGTTTCTCTATTAGATATAGGGAACGTAAGGCAAACCAATGTAAGATTATTTACTTGCCTTTGTCACCCTTTTACCCTGCTGGTTCTCTAAAGAGCTCAGACTTTCTAAAAGAGCTCAGACTTTCTAACAGATGGTGTTGTTACTGCTGAAAAATCACCCGGTCTCCTCTCCTGATTCAGTGCCTTCCTTGTGATACAAACTGTATCACCTTCTCCCTCCTCATGACCTCAGGGCAGGAAATATGGAAAGACACCCATCCCAGGGAACTGACAGTTTGACCCTCTTTGTTCTGCTGGGAATACGATACGTCAGTGGCTCAAAGGGCATTGAGAGGGGGTCAAACGGTTTCAAGAGAGACTTTCCCATTTCAAGTACCCCTGATGAAAAATCCAAATCAAGTTGGTCTGTTTTGGGAACAGTTGCAATCAAATCTCTTAGACATAAAGGTGGGTGTCCATTTTAAACAAGGCCCATCTAAGCACAACTCAGGTGTGACTTCTTTGACAGTGCTTTCAAACAAAAACCCCTTCCTGGCTCCCTCCCTATCCTTGTGTTCTGAGTTTCTGCAACACAAATTTCATTGCAGAGGAGCTGTGACTGTTCTACAAAATGGAAATGAGGAATCCTTGGTGAGCTACATTGTATCAGGCAGAAATACAGGAGGAGATCATCATCTACAGCCGTGCCCTGCTTTACGATTACCCCGCGTTACGACGAATCCGCTTCATGATGACGTTTTTGCGATCACTTTTGCGATCACAAAATGATGGTCTAAATAGGGTTTTTTCACTTTGCGATTCTTTGCAAAACGATGTTTTTTTAACAGCTGACTAGCGGTTTCAAAATGGTCGCCAGGTAATTAAAAAGGCTCCCTACTGTGTTTAGGGATGGATTCCTCGCTATACAGGCACTGAAAATGGCCACCGTATGGAGGATCTTCGCTGGACGGTGGTTTTCAATGCATTTCAATGGGCTTTTTATTTTTGCTTTACGACGTTTTCGCTTAACAGCGATTCTCCTGGAACGGATTACCACCGTTAAGCGAGGCACCACTGTATCTCCCAGGTATCTGGATTCCAGGATTCTGTATTAAAAGCCTGCTGAGTGCCCAAATTGTGTCTCAGTGCTCCACCCACAGAAACCATGGAACAATTAGCTCATGGCCAGGGTAACACCGGAGGGGGAAGAGAAGCAGCAGCCTCAGGCAGCAGAAATCAGCATGGCAGGAGAGCTGATGGCAAATGCAGGTTCCCCCCTAACAGCCCAGTAGAACTTTCCTACCCCATCCCAATCAAGGAAGGTGGCTGGGAAAATTTCTGGGTTGATGTCATGCCATGTTAATTCAGCGAGAGGTGGGGAACTCCCTAGATATTCCGCCTCCAAAACCAAAATGTCCCAACCTTCCTCTTACCTTTTGGAAATGACTTGGTGGTAGATACTATAGCTGGCCAAATCTCTTGGTCGCTCTCACCTGAAAGAAAAGAAACGTCAAGCAGTTTAGAAAAACATTGGGTGATCTCCTTGGCTCAGATGGAAGGCTGGACTTAAGAGTCACAACACCCAGCCAGGGACTCTGTCGCCCAAGAGAAACCCAACGGAAACTTGGGAGGGGGAAGTGGAAGGCACATAAAGCTAAAGAAGGATATTTTTAGTGGAAGGGCCTCTCTAGCATGGGCCTCTTCCTCCAAGAACTTCCCCTTGGCCCTTCTCCTGCCACTCTTTGTAAACTGAAGTCTCACTGTTTACAACATGCAAAGGAAAACAGTTAAATCAAAGCACTAAACACAAATTCTTGCAGAAGCAAATGTGTCCTTTTGTATGAAAGCACTACATTCAAATTGCTGGGCTGAGACACACTCAGACATGCTGTGGTCTTTAATGTTTGCACGTCCAGCCATCCCTTTTGCTAAGGCACATTTTTATACTTGGCTCCAACTGTTGCCAAACGGCAGATTCTCAAGTTTTACGTACTTGTGGACAGACCAGGCTATCTTTTCATTGACTGATTTAATTTATATCCTACCTAACCCTTCAAAACGGGTCTCAAAAGACTGCAACAATATTTTTAAAAAAGGAGCAGATAAAACTACATGTTATGTAAAGGCACAGTTAACACAAATACTGTAATAACACTGAAATAGTACTGAATTAAAAAGCAATTTAATAACACATGGAACCTTTAAAAGCTCCTTCCTCAGCCACTAGTCATTTGCCAAAACCTGCCTCACAAGAAAGCTGCTTGCCTGCGACCAGCCAAAGAACGGGCAAGGGGTCATCCTCGCCTCCTTTGGCAGGAAGTTCCGTTTATGTCCAAGGTGCTGGGACAGAAGGATACAAACCCCAGTCCTGCTGGTGGTGGATCTCCACCGCCAGCAACCACTGCCACAGCACCACATGATACGGCCACATTTGTATTTTTTTCCCCATTCATTTTAAAAGGGGCAGATTCATGGAGCATCCATTGGGAAACAGGTAACAATCGTGTGGGTCTAAGAGCAGGTCCTCCACATTCGGAGAAAGCATGCCCATGTCTGCAAAATGATGAAAAGAAAAAAAAATCCAGAAAGATTTAGGAAAAGATCATGTGGTTCAGGATTACACAAATGCCAGAGTAAGATGATACCTTTACTGAACCACTAAACATTCATGCAAATTGCAACACAAAAAGTACTTTCCATCTCCCTTCAAGCTTGTCTGGCCACGGTTAACAAGGGAGACTCCTGGAGCACATGGATCAATGGAGCAACTAAGAAAAGAAATATTTATGACAAAATTATTTGCAGCTGCAATATTATCTTTACAGACTGTGCCATGGGGTGGGGATGTCCATGAGCCTCTCCAACATTCACTACTACAAAAGAACCAAGATGGATTCAGACTGTTTCCCACTCTCATCCAATACAGTCAAGTTTCCCCGGCAGCAACTCTTCAGACACAGGGAGAAAGCTTGGAGATGTTCTTTTTCCACTAAATGCCCACAATGTCCCATCAGCAAAGTTATGCTTCCCAGTGGATGCTGGGATTTCCAGTCCAAAAATAACTTTACCAAACTCTGCCAGAAGACATTTAACTTGATATGGCAGGATTTATTTATTTGTACAGTATATGACTCTTAGGCCTAAACTACTGATTCAGCCTGTTGTTGACTGTATTTTGTGGGCCTTAAATTTTAGCCTCCAAACCGCCGAGCGTAGTGTCTGCACCAAAGGGCATGAACTGCTGATGTCCAGCGGTTCCCAGCCCTGCCTCCTCTGGTGGGCGCCCACTCAGAGACAGTGCCCAGAGGAGGCAGGGCACAGAAGCCGGGCATTGCCTCTGAGGGCACCTGCCTGAAGAGACAGGGCTGGGGCACTTGATATCCATCTCTAGTTTTCACGAATGGGATGATCTATAAATTAAATAAACAAATACAGAAAATAAAATAAAATGTAAAATAAGTATACCCAGAAACCATGTCCCGGGTCACTAAATACTGGAGACACCCTATGCAGTTGTTATTTACCTGGTACTCTCCAACGAGCTTAGAAGGGAGGGCCTCAGAAACCCACTATCATTGCTTTTCTCCATGTCGAAAGCAGAGAAGTTGCTGCTTGAACACATGCTCCCCTCTAAGCTTGTTAGCAAGAACCAGGTAAGGGCTGAATAGGGATTAGAGGCCACTGAGCACTGCTAACATATCTTGCTTACTTCCATGTCTGAATTTGGCATCAAGCTTACTCTACCCCAAATGTATGGCTGAGTTAGGGTTTTAATCTGAGTCTCCTAATTTCAAGTCCCACATCCAGCCACTACTCCACACTCTTGAAGGCAGATTATGTCACATCCCTTGTGACCAATTACACCCTAGAGATACTCAGCATAGTATTAAATCTTTCAGCAAAGGTCTGCAAGCGTTTTACATTTTCAGGCATCGCTGTTGAATTTTTCTAGTGACTCCTCTTAAGAGCTCAAAACTCTCTCCACAGGAAGTCTGTGAAAATTGCCACAAACTGAGAAACGGAGGCCAGAAACTTCTGAATTGGAGATGACAACTTGTTCATTCGGCAAGCTTGCGGCTTTGCTTCACCATGACAAAAGCTGGAAACTGAGATGACTATATACTGTATGAAGGCTAAAGTGAAGGGTTGTGAGCATAACATACTAAGTCTGGAATTCAGGAACACTGGAACATACAAACCCTCCTGACACGGAATCATTTTCCATCTCCTCCTTCCTCTGCTGACAAACAGCAGAGCCCACAAACAGCATCATATGAGATCGATCTTCCTTCCTTCCTTCCTTCCTTCCTTCCTTCCTTCCTTCCTTCCTTCCTTCCTTCC